TTCTCTGTGCATTGTAAACAAAGCATGACATAGACCCTGTTTACATAGAAAGGTTTGGAGCTCTAAATTTGTCTTGTATCTCGACAACTGAATTCAAATTTTTGATGACCGTTAGAAAGATCTTTGTTAATTATTTGTCAATATGGAAAAATTAATTTGAAATTTAAGCTGAAACTGTGTCTACGCCCCTTTAAGGACAAAACTACAAAAAAAAATGTATATTATCATTATAATGATTTATAAACTGAATAAAATTGTGAGGAATTGAACAAGTACAGATGCTATAATATCTTTTAATGCAAAACAAAAACAAAAAGACTAGCAGGAATCACGTGATTGGCAGCAATAATTATTGCCTGGCGTCACGGCGTCAGGCACTACTAAGGATCAATATTTCCTAGGTGCGAAGCTAAGAGGTCACAGTTAGTCAGCAAAATTTTGTGCATACTGATTATCATTGGATTTTGTTACATGCATTTCAGCAACAACAGTTAACAGAAAATAACCATATTGCTGATACAATACATTGATGTATTCATTTCCTTTAGCTTTTTGCTAGCAGCTATTAATTTCATGCGAGTTCTTATACGGCCATGTCAGTTTGACCTTTTTTTTCTGCGTTTCTATACTACTAGATTAGTCCATTTGTCTTCTAGGTAAGGGGTGACACAATCATTTCGCGCCAAAATGTCACGTGTATGTTTTTGCGCCCTTTCCCTGGACTATTCTATTGAATGGAAATAAAAACTGCATGAATTATATAAAGTCTTTTTTTTTTTTTGTCGGAATCCTGGTCGAGTTTTGGAACAAAAAACATATCGGTGATATTGTGAAGTGAGTTAGAAGTTACATCTTTTAAAGTAATAAAAACGAAATTAACAAAAACTTTTAAAGAGGATGAACTGACCAAATATACTTCTGATCATAACCCCCACCCCCACCCCTTCCAGGGGGTTTCCTCCACAGAGTAAAGACTTATGAAAGTGTCCTCTCACATTTCAGGACTGAGAAAACATGAACTGACAAATATTTTTGATGTGGACCCCTCATTCTTGGGAAAAACTTCCTGAATCCGCACCTGTCGCCGTAAGGTTTGTCGGGTCATTTAAGCATATATAGGGCTTTAATTATTTATCCCACGTTTCCAACAATCTTTGATGCTCTGGCATACCCAAGAAACTATTAAACATATTCTGCATGTCAGTCATAACCGTTGCAATTCCCAATTTCTTGTAGTTATCATATTTTCGGCTGTCTTCTTCAAAGCCTGTGTTGTATGCAGTTAAATCTAATCAATGCAACCTTTACATGTAGCCATGCTTTCCAGCATTAATCAATTACATTAGTGTTTTCCCTTATTTACTTCATCCTCTAAAACCATTTTAAGACTTGCGGAGTGAGGCATTCATCTTTACGTCGCGGATTCGAATCTACAGTGGGACATGTACACATGATTTCATTTTTTTAATTTGAGATACAAACAATACAAGGGGTGATCAAAAAGTTCGCGAACAAATTGAATAACATCCATAAAACAAATAAAATTAGGTTTCAGTGTTCATTATTTTTTAAAGTAGCCCTCTCTGATTTTAATGCATATCTGCCACCGTTCTACACATGCGCGAATCACGTGATCCAGGCGGTCACGTGACATGCCCTGAAGCATTCTGTTCATAGACGCTAAAATATTTTTACGAGTCTATTATTTCGTATCATGCAAGAACGGTCCATTTGTCAGAAATGACCAAATCTCGGAGATAGGAAGGTTGGATAAGGATATCCTTTCCCAGAAAAAACATGGTGATCATCACAACCCGAGATCTCGGTCTTAGGAACGTCGTTTATCAAATATGGATATAGCTGTTGGGGCCTTCTTTTGATCATGTTTAATATGTTAAAAGTCCAAATAAAAAGATATTTTAGGGATTTAATAATGATAGTATTGTTAAGATATTCAGCCATTTTTCAAACTGTAATTTCGCGATCTTTCATAACAAATTACCTAACAAAGGACACATATCTTCCTCAGCTTGCTTTCGCTGGGGGTACAAAACAGACGTCATTTTTAACCATCTGCCTCTCTTCACTAAAACAATCAATCCAATTTATGACTGAACGTCTGGAAAGTCTGTTGTCTTCATAAACCTTGTACAAATTATTATAAGATACATGTACTTCAAAGGAATTTCCAAGTCATACGTTAAACTTAACAGCCGTTCGTTGCTCGAGTAAGACTGTGACAACAATTTTTCGTCACGATTGACCTACATATTGACATCCTTTTCACATTGTGACGTCACAATGATGGAGAAAATCATTACTTTGCATATGCTATTTATAGAACATGTGCATGACTATAAGCGTGTCAAATTTCATTCTGATCTGAATCTTGGTTTTGAAAATATAGAGATAGTTCGCGAACTTTGTTTTATGTAAATGTGTTCTTTTTTCATGCTTATAGGTTCTATAGATATTGATGGCATTAGTCAGGCAAGCTTTTTAAAAAGCTGTTACTTGTTTCTTCTTAATATCAAGGAAAAAGGTAATGACTTGATCTGATTTAGCCTCAAATATAAAACGGTCAGATTCAATCTAACTAATACCATCATTTTGTGATATTGTCTTCTTGAATCTATGAAAATTTTATTTTTTAAATACAAGAAATATTAGAAGAATCCCTCTTTAATATTTTGCCAACATCGTTGTATAATGTTTACAGTGAAGATATAATTTTACAGAATAACTCTTTTCATTCCTTTGTAATGCAACTTTTAAATACGGACACATGCCACAACCCAAAGTGCATAAAAAACTACAATGTTTACACAAATCCGTGCTATGTTGAATTGTCGACGGATTTTCCGTTATTTCCCGATCATGACAAGGAGCACACGGCGGGTGTGACCGGTCGACAGGGAACGTCACTCCTCCATGGCACCTGTTCCCACCTCTGACTTTTTTGTAGGTTCGTATTTGCTTTGCTCCTACTTTGTATTGTTTTATGGACTATTGTGCTGAATACTGTTCGTTTTCTTCATTTCATCTCAAGCTATTTGTATAAATGCTGACTGACGTTTTTCATACTAATCGTTAGTCCATTATTTATACACTAAATTGACGACAGATTTTTCCGTTATTACCCGATTATGACAAGGACGATTTTCACATGCATGGTCTCTATTTTGATTTTTTATTCTATGTGAGTGAAACAAAATTGCAAGGTTTATCAGAATAAAAATCAATCAATTTTTCATTTATTGGTAGAAGTGAAATGATTCTTTACAATTTCTTATATTGTGGGTATACATTATAACTTCTCTTGATCGATCGGCTGTTGGATTTGCCGGATTAGATGGTGGCTGGTTAATTGAAAATTTGTCATAATGTAATGGTTTTTCATGAGAAAACATGATGGTGATTTTAATATACTAATATGATTCAGTTTTCATGAAGAATTTTACATTTGTAGCAATAAAAAAATTCACACAAACGTCTGCAGAGTAAATTTAGAATTAATTATCTGTGGGTTAGATTTTGAAGAAAAAGTTTTGTTCGAAGGATTTTGTGCAGAGCAAAATCTGAAATGAGTGACAAGGAAATTTCCGGCGGAGAAATGTATCGACCTGATGCGTTTTCCTCCACCTATCAATCCGAGGTTTGAATGGAGATTTTTTGAAATCGTGTATAGCTTTTATTAGTAAATAAACTACATAAATTTCCAACCATATTTTAAGTGACGAAAGTTATAGCGTCTAAGCGTATATAACTTTAATTAAATGGTTTATCTTTTTTTAGTTTTCACAAAATAAAAGCCGAGTAAACTCCCTTACGATAGCATTTATTCTACATTACTAACAATTGATGAAAACTTGTGCAGCTGCACTTAGGAATCGAACTAAGCAAAATGATACACTGTACATGTTATTTCCTCCAATGACTTTGAAAATGTTCTGTCTGAATAGCATACTTCAGCAAGATGTTTAAATATATACTGACACGCAAAAGAAACACAACAAGCAGTAATCTACAAATGTTTGATTTTTTTATCTTATGATTTTCAAAAGCGAATAAAGTATGGCTAAACTCATTTTGCAGAACATCAGAGATTTTATAAAAATGTTAAATGTTTATCTGTTTACTTTACTAAGTAAAATATGACTGTTAAAACACCCCCCTTCCAGCCATTCAAGTAAAACGTGCAAGACTGCCCTAAATAACGATTGCAGCTTAACTTCTACGATACAATAGGTTCATTATATCGAGATCTGAGTGAAGGAATAATTCTTTGACATTTTTAAATGCCCGTTTTTCATATGATTAGGTCGAATTTTCTCTAATTTAGGGCAGTGTAGCCACCCTTGGACTTCCGGTAACAGGACTGTCTTTAATGCATATGATACGGAGGACCCTGTTGAGGCGTAATGTAGTGAAATTTCCCATCAGCAACTCTCCATCACCTTTACATTGAAATTTTACAGCTAGAGCAATGGAAATGCGTACATAGGCCATTTTCAAGTAGCTTTAGCATCGTTACGGAAAAGGAAGGAGAGTTTATTTTTTGAAATATTGCTAAATTACTTATGATGAACAGTATAAAACCCTTAAAACTCCATATGATTAAAATGTTTTGTTCAACATGCAATTTTTGATTTCGCTTAAGCAGATCAAAAAGTAAAATAAGAGGTGCACAATGGCACTATGTAGTAAAGAATGTATTATTAAATTTTATTCAGTGATATAGGAATTGTGGATAAGAGATAGCATATAGCATATAATCTACAATACTTACAATCGACGAAAAATTGTGCAGCTGCACTAAGGAACTAGGCAAAATGATAGATGTTATTTCCTCCAATTACTTTGAAAATGTTCCGTCTGAATAGCATATTTCCGCAAAATGTTTAAATATACTTTAAGCAGGGGGAAAGAAAATCAAATCATTTTAGTGCATTCAAGAGATTATTAATAGTGTTGTCAATGCACACTTTATTACGTAGATACACAAACAACTTAAAAATTCTACCGTGCAAAATTTAAACATGGGCGGACAAATTCGGATGTACAAGTTCTACAAATGTATTTTTGAGAAAGATATTGAAACGTTTCGAAAGACGTGGCATCAAGCTGTGGACATAAAACCTAATCAAATTCGCTCTATCGTCCGCGTGGCATCAGATCAAGGATTTGTTCAAGGACTTCGCTTCATAGTACAGGAACAAGGTGCAGATTGTCTAGATCTAGATAAAAGTGATAATATGTTCCATGTTGCATGCAAAGCTGGACAAATTGAGGTCGTGAAGTACCTTATAACTCTGGAGGAATTTGACAAAAGTACGACAGTTTTCAATAATGGATTTTGGTATTTTTTATCCAGTTCGTCAGAGACAAATAATATCGAAGTGGTTAGTGTGTTACTGAGCAGTGGAAAACTTGACATTAATAAAACCTCCACAAAAGGCGTTTCTCTACTTTTTCAAGCAATTGAAAATCGCAAAAAACGATTTTCAGAATATCTCATTGAGCTGGGAGCCAAGGTTACATTTGTTGATACAAGTAAAGGAACGTGGTTAGGAAATATCAGCTGTATTTGCCTCTCAGCCAAAAAAGTACCATCTCTTCTTCCCGCTTTGCTTAAAAGAGGAGGAAATGCTAATGATGTCTACGAAAAAACTGGACAGTCAGTTTTGATGTTGGCATTTGAAAATGACGCAGATCGAAAGACGGTAGAAGAGATTGTTCGTGCTGGAGCAAATTTAAGCTGGAAAGACAAATATGGAAGAACAGTTTTTTCAATGTTAAAATCAATAGGTTTGGTTCATTTGTTTTCCAAGAATATGTCTGATCAGGGTGTTTAATAATAAAGCATTAAGTTTTCAAGTTTATAATTTATACTCAACATTTACTTTTTTTTTAATTTCTCCAGTGCTATTTGTCCGATTTCATTCAATGTTAAAGTAACATTAATTAAAAAGATGCAGGGGGTGTTCACTCCTCTATGGCACCTGATCCCACCTCTAATGTTTTGGAGGTCTGTCTTTGCTCTGATTCTACATGTATTTTGTATTGTTTAATCGACTTTTTAGCTTGAATACTGTTCGTTATCTTCATATTTCATTTCCTCTGTGGGAAAAGTTCATAGATGTTCAAAAATATTATTATTATTGACTTTCTATGGAACCAATGAAGTAACGCAATCGCAAAACATCCAGCAAGATTTTTTTCATATAGGAAATGAACGAGGAAAAATTTAAAATTCCGAGCAATATAAAAAAACAATATTTTACGAATGGTATCAGCACAGATACTTATATTCATGTACATACAAAACACACGCTCTTGTCGAACGTTAAAAGAAATTCATAATAACGTATTGAACAGGGAAGTCTGAAAAAATTTCTATGAAAGTCTTGAAACCGTTTCAAAGAGCTCTATCAATTCACTCTATATTCAAATATTGAATATAAAATTATTTAAAATGACAAAAAACATTAACACAATTGTCCACAAGGCAAAACTCAAACATCACAATAAATCGACGAGCTAAACAATGTGAAGAACTGTAGAAAATAGAATTAACAACCACTTTCTTAAATATCTTCAGTATTACTTTATTACTATCTAACATTCACAGCTATGCATTTTTTTCACAGGTCAGTTATATGGGGTATTGGATGCAGGGATCACCGTAGATGATATTGAAAAACAATATCATTTTTCTACGTTGGATTTCACTTTGTGCCGCAATAATGCAAAGAAAGATCTTTTACTACTTTTAGAGAAAGGCGCCAATCCTAACTTTTACTGTGACGGTGAAACTTCCTTGCTTACAAATGCATGCAAAGGTTTTTCTCGATCTGAAGAGAACGTTCGAATTCTTTTGCAGCACGGCGCAAATCCAAATCATGTTGATGAGAAAGGATTTTCAGTTCTTCAAAACATTTTGAAACTGGGTAATTATTTTCTTTACTTATTTCACATGTAAACAAAATTGTTATTGCATGCATTTATATATTATCATTAAACGTGTATAAAAATATAAACAGAAAACAGATAGTAAAACAATTTTGACTTAATAAGCAATATTCTTTCTGTAAGGTTTACTCTAATTTGGAAAGAAACCCACTGACTTCATATTAAAATCTTGGTGCATTTGATTGCACGTCAATAAACATTATAAGAACTTCTTCAATTTGCATGAAACTTGCTATATTGATGATCTTTGTAATTTTTATTTCCTAGAAATGTTAAAACTGGTATTATCAAACAAACTTTTAAAATTCTGGAAGATTTTTTTATCGATCTTGATCTCGGCAAAATTACAACTTACTAGGGATGGCAATTTGTAACTGGCTGATCGATTAATCGGTTGAAACGATGCTAATTGGTTAGAAAATCCGCAATCGGTTAGTTGGAATTCCTTCTGGGTTTTTTTAGAAAGGAAAACGCTGCATAGATTTTTTATGTAGTGTTTTCAAACATCTCATAATTAAATTTTTTGAGGTAATTATAGCTCTCCAGATTGAGGTCGCAGGGATATTGGTCAATTCGTAAAGTGTTAATTACTGTTTTAAAAGAACATGATATTAGCCGATAATCCTGTGGATTTTCAATGATATTAAAACATCCCCGTTAAGCACTTTTAATTATAGTATGTTTATATTTGCCGTTATCTATCAAATTATATTATTATAAAGAAAGTTGTATTTTAAATAAAGTTAGAGTTCAGACATAGTTCTAATTATGTTGACAATGCAGAATTAACTTCTTTAACACTCGATCAAAGGGGTATATTTAATCATGTTTTGGAGGTCTGTGTTTGCTCTGCTCCCATTTTGTATTGTTTTATGGACTTTTGATCTTGAATATATACTGTTCGTTATCTCCATATGTTTCATTCATGAAATCAAAATGTATAATATAGTGATAATTACGTACTTTAAAAAGTTCTTCAAATACAATTTTGTCAAACATTGATATTTTGTTTTGAGATACAAATTATATATTTATGTGTAATTTATAGGAAACTAAGGCACACACTAATTGGAATATATAGAATGGAAATTATCTAGGCAATCGCATGTTAATATGTAACAATATGTTATGAACCACCTGTGAAAGTTGTGCATTCAAATTTGATAACAATACCTATGGATATTGATTTAAACCGTAATGAATTCATGTATGAGCAAGATGATTTAGATATTCAGTGTGCTTTACAGTTGCTTAAACCACTTTTTTATGTCCAAAGGTACGAGTAGCAAAGCTGCTCTCCTACTTCTTGACTTTGGAGCAAAACCAGATGATAACTGTCTATGGACTATGGTGCAGGAAGCCTCAAACGATGACATGTGGCTTAGTTTAGGAAAGCGATTGTTAGAGGAGGGTGCAGATCCAAACGAAAAGTCAGAAGACAAACAATCTATTCTGTCAACTGCTATCGAAAGAAAATGCTTTGATTTGGCAGAAGAACTAGTAAAATACGGCGCCATTATCAACTATATTGACTATTCTGGTAGGTCTCCGTTGGATTATGCTTGTATATTAGGTAAGAATTTATATCTTAGACCATCTCAATTAATTGCTTACTAAAGAAGCAAACAAAATTAATTTTATTACCATAGATGATATATATGAAGTAGCTTTAGAAAATGATAATGTCTATGATATAGTTGTTTGAAGTCAAATTAATTTTATGTTGTTTTTTTTTTACACTTTATAACGTAGAAATAGCAAGATGTTTTATTAAAACACTGATGCCCTTGTACAATTTATGGTAGCTTATGGCAAGGGTTAAAATTACTGAAATGCAAGTCAAACTCAAAGATGAAGGTCAAAATTGTTGTTATCCAAAGGAAGGTCTTGTCACAAGGAAGACATCTATGAAAAATGAAAGCCCCAGTGCTTACCATTCAAAAGTAATGGTCAAGGTTAAAGTTAAAAAAAATGTTTACCTAACTTTAAGGTCAAGGTCAAAAGGTCAAAAATATTTATATCAAATAAAAGGTGAAGTATGAAAGTCCTAGCTCAAACTGTTCAAAATTTATGGCAAAAATAAAACCCTTTGGTACCAAAAGAAAAATCCCGACACAAGAAATACACCTGTAAAATATGAAAGCCATAGCCCCACCCAGTCAAAAGTTATGGGCAATGTTAAAGTTTTCAGACAATCAGACAGAAAGCTAGACAGACGAACAGACGGGGCAAAAACGATATACCCCTTCGTGAACTTCGTTTACGGGGGTATAAAAGTATATATAACAAAGTACAATATAAAAAATTTAAATGTATTTTGACGCCCTTAGACCACACGAGATTAAAACTTAAATTAATGATGTTATAATTCAATTTTCTGTATATTTCAAAAGTGAATACGTCAAGTGCATGTGTACGAATATTTATTTACAGGTATAGGGTTTAGAGAATTAAGATATTTAGGCACGGTCCTAAAATATCCAGTAAAGCTGGAGATTGGACACGTTTTCGAGCACATTGGTGTTCTGGGGAAAACTAGTGACAAAGCATACACTAGCAATAACCAACACATTCTAACTTTTGACGTAAAGGGTGTTTTCCAACTTTTCATCGCCGGCGCTGATTTGATGAATAAACGACCTGGGTAATAAAATATTATTATTGATTTTTAATATTTTATAAGGAACGAAGTGAAGTTTGTCTCAATTTACATGTATTTCTGTCACTTTATTCAGGATAAATCCAGTTTTAGATGACTTTGAGCGGGTTGCATACGTCATCATATTCTATGAGCGATGGATGGTTTTAGAAATTATTATAGTTATCTTATTATATACTAGTATGTTGTTTATTGCGATGAACCTATAGAGACCATAAATAAACATATTTTACTTTTTTTATTTTCTTTTTTTTTGCCTGAAAGAAACAGTCAGTTTTGAAAGAAAATGATTTGATAATAGACTCAGGTGACACACATGTTTCCTTTCCTCTAATTTATAGAACACATATTGTTATTTTGTATTTCAAATAACATGATCCCGAGAATCCCTTACTGTTTTTGTTTGATTTGATCTTAATTTTTATGATAATTTTGAACAATTGACATTTTTTGTATTCATAATGATAGCATTATTACAACGCAAAATGTAATAACAACGCGAAATGCAATAAACCTGGATTATTACATTTTGCGTCGAGATCAACGCAAAATGTAAAAAAGCAAAATGTAATAAGACAATTTTTATATAATTATTTTTAGCGTTATAACATTATGCGTCCAGATCAACGCAAAATGTAAAAATGTACTTTTTTGTTGTTACATTTTATTATTTTATTTTTGCACTGAAGACAAGGCAAAATGTAATAAAACAAAATACATTTGTTTGATTGTGTTTAACAAAAACGATCATAAAACTGATACAAATATATACATGTACCCAGCATGGGAAACACGCTGTACAAAATATTTAGAACTAAAACAATGAAACCAATGTTAGAGCTTTTACGGATATAAATACATCTAAATGTATCGTTTTTCTTACTAAGTTTAAGTGACTTGGTTATATTGAATACACTGTACTTAATCATAAAGCATTAATTTAACTTTGATTGGCATATTTGTTTTTGTTTGTCTACAATACTGCATGGAACAGTATGGTATCGTAATTGTCAATAAACCCCTTCCCGCTATATTTACACCTGCCAGTACAAACGAATAGTTTTTTTAAAGATTCATTGCATTTGTCTATATAAAAAAGCACACTGGTCAATATCCCCCCTCCCCCAAAACAACAATCCCACCCTCATGTACACGTTTCTAATTTGCAACACCTATACTTTAAATACATTTATTGAACTGATTTTAACTACATGTAGCTAATTAAATCCATATATTATAAAATTCATGAATTGTAAGAAATTGCATATATCTATCTTTATACCCCCACTTGAAAAGGGGAGGGTATATACTAGTAATCGGTATGTCCGTTCGTCCGTCTGTCTGTTACGCTTTGAGGTACTCATCTCTTATCCACAACTCTTCTCATACCACCGAATGCAATTTGATGAAAATTTCACAGAATCTTTGTTACATATTGCCATTGTGCACCTCCTATTTTACTTTTTGATCTGTCACATAGTTTTGGTTTCCAACAACAAAACATACTCCCACTATATTCATATTGGAGGCGGGGTTATCATTTAGTGAGCTCAGTGCTCACAGTACCTCTAGTTTTCCATTTCTTTTTGTCCCCCGCTTGAAAAGTGGGGGATATTAATTTGGGTCTGTCCGTCCGTCCGTCTCGAGATCTCTTTAAGCTTTTGCAATGAAATTTTGCATATCAACTCCCTATGGACTAAAGAAGAACCCTATTGATTTTAGGTCCAAAGGTCAAGGTCATAAATTCGCAAATTCTGTCTGTTATAACACTCTTGATTCCGCGCGATATCTCGAGAACCCTTTGAGCTTTTTACATAATTTTACATAACAACTCCCTGTGGCCTAATTATTTTGAGGTCAAAAGGTCAAAGTTCAAGGTCGTAAATTTATACATTATGTCTGTGTGTAACACTATTTTTTCCGGGCTATATTTCAAGAGGATTTTGAGCTTTTGCAAAGTAATTTTAGACCAAAACTCCCTAGGACCTCTCTCACCCCTCTCAAAGTGTCCCGTCCCGTTTGTTTTATTAGTATTTATTGTATTACATGTCGCTATTTTTAGCTCAGGGGCATGAGGGGAGTTATTACGTATAAAACAGATTCTCGGCGGACTTTATATTCTTATTACATTAGAACTGTTTAATAAAGGTTAAATTAGACACCATGCATTGTGTAAAATTTTGACAATATCGAACGTGAATATGTAAATACATGTATGTAACTTCATCTTTGCATATAATTTTTGCCAGCGTAAAGCAGTTCAGTGGTCTAGTGGTTTGTCTCTCGCTTCACATGTGAGAGGTCCATGGTTCGAATCCCGGACAATCCGTTTTCTTTTTTTTTCGAAATACTTTTTTTTACTAAATGATAGTATTCAATATGTGAAATGAAAAATTTATGAGGTTTGGCTTGTACAAACTCATAAAATCATCATCAGTGTGATAAATATTACATATAAAAAGAATCTTCTATACACATAATAAAGAATAAGCAATCAAATCTTTGTATGCATATTGACATACATGTATTTTATTTGCTTTAGTATACATGAATATATTTAATAATTCTACAAATTCAGTCAGGGGATCCGACTTTTTCCCTAAGCGGGGGACACGAATTCTCTGAATTAGCCAGTATTTTCTTTTCATCGGCCACTACTCTGTTGAAAATTGTACTCAATCTGGCTGACCAAAAAGTGTGTGATTATATTTTGCGTTCTTGCCTTTTGCTTAATCTCGACGCAAAATGTAACAACACAAAATATAATAATCCAAAAATGGTGTTATTACATTTTGCGTTGTTCTCGACGCAAAATGTATAACGCGAAATTTAATAATCCTAGAAAGAGTGTTGTTACATTTTGCGTTATTACATTCTGCTTTGATTTCGACGCAAAATGTAATAATGCAGGTTTATTATATTTTGCGTTGTTATTACATTTCGCGTTGTAACATAGCATTCCTTTCTTTTTTAGTTTGTTTCCCTTAGAATGTCTTAGAAGTCTCGCAATTTATGGATTATTTGAATCTATAAAATTTTTGATGCGTTGTGGCTGGAACATAGACACAGAAAAAAGTTGGATCAGAGGATTTGAAAATGAAGAAAATTTTAAATGTTCTTTTATCGTTGACGAATGCAACTACACAGCAGGAGTCAGTGTCGAAGACAGGGCTGCTCTTACAGCTGTTTTAACAGAAATCGAGAATGAACCAACAACTCTACAAATCCTTTGCAGATGTAGAATTCGAAAACAGCTTTCATCTCATGGTCAGAGTATTTTGCCATTAATTGAGGATTTACCAATTCCAACAAAACTGAAATCTTTTCTTAAATTTGAAGATCATGAAAATCCCAAAGAGGAGGAAGTGACAGTAAATGTTCAAAGAAACTACAGGTAAGTCGGACAACCGTCGCTTGATTGAGCACTGTGCACTAGCTTGATTTACTAACATCCGACATTTACGAAAACACACTACCTAAATGACGATAGACTGTCGACCGACTTAACAAATTGTCTTCCGATGGTCGGACGATGAGGTAGCAGAGGATAGTTTTTTGGCAATCAAAACGTTTGACTGACGGTTCACTTAATATTGAGCTGCTTTTAAAATATGCATTGGAAAATTTTAAATTCTCTCTACATGTAATAATTTTATGATCTAGTCCCTTGGGTAATTTGAAGCTTTTAGGAATAAAACATGTCCAACTTACACCATGAGCCCTAATAATGGCACACTGACAATCTCAAAAATTCATGTAATTCAATCCTATTTTCACTATTTCGCCGGAGCCGCAACTGTTTCCAGGCCCGTGCTAATGATCTAAGCTACCATACAAATTGCAGAACAACATTGTACATACCATTGAACAGCAAGGGATAATGGCTCAACCATCTTGCTTTCAAGCTACAATTCATCCTATGAACCCACCCCGCTTTTCTGGTAAAATACCGTAAGAGTGATTTTTATCTTAGTTTCGTATTTCTAGTCCACATCCCATAAACAGTAGTATAGTGACACTAAAGTGTCATATTTCAATAAAATATACAAGACCACCAATTGCTACCATAAAATATTATAATAGCTATAAAATTACCTATAATATACATTAAAACCTTACATTTCTCTATTTTTTATAAGTTTTTGCCGGTACTTAATCCTAAACTTTCCTCTGCCACCTGATCTCGTGTTAGTCGACGGATTATTCAACGACTGTTTAAATTGAGGGAATATATAATCGACGCAGAAAAGTTATAACTGGGCTAGGTCTATTGCATAGACCTCTCATAAATGTAACCTTAGGGTTTTCAAGGTATAGCCAATGCAATAGGAAAAAGATGTGATTTATAATCATAAAACATTAACTATTCCTTTTCAGCAGCTACCGTTATGATGATTATGATGACTATGACGATTATTACGATAATGATGACAATTATTACGATAGTGACCGCCAGGAGATGATTTTTGATACCGAATCAGATGAATGGATACCAATATGGTGGTATGTCATTGAATTAAAATCAATTTGATTTAAATAAATAAATATACACGCCCTTTTAAAAGAAAGTTCGTGCACGTCTGTCTATATGTACGTCTCTCTGTTACATCTGTGACTTGTTTTTTTAAACTCAAACTAATTTAAGCATTAGCCGACTAATATTTTGGGACATGTCTGGTGATGCGTACTTATATTGGTCCTAAAAATCGTAAGACGTGGTCTGGGAACCAGGATATCATCTTCCCAAGTCAAGTGTTCTTGATCTGCTCCGCTCCACATAAACACTTGACCGTCAAGGGTTTATGTAGAGCGGAGCAGATCAAAAACACTTGACTTTGGAAGAGGCCAGGATATGTATAAAAAAACTGTGAACTCATTTGTTCCCCATGGTAATACTTTATTGTATATTGTCAATAGAACATATCAACCAATCATTTCGAAAATTATGAACTAGCTACTACCAAAAATATAGGAAAAATTCAGGGAAGCAGGGTTTGGGAGAAAAAAGACTGTTTTAAATGCCCATTTATGTCGCAGAGTGGAAATAAATAATTCTATAAAATTATAATTCTGTACGTGCTCAAGGGACCCACAATCATATATTCCAAAAGTTTAGTTATCTACTGTCTAAAATGTAAGGAGAAGAAGAAGAAAGTATATCTAACAGAAATGGATTGTTGCAACCACTATTGAAATATGACCACTACTGAAATTATTATTTCAATAGTGATTGAGAGTCCATTTCAAAATAACAAACACAGATTGCAACTACTATTGAAATACGACCATTATTAAAGTAATTACATGTATTTCAAGAGTGGATGAGAGTGCATGTAAACACAATACACAGGTAGTAACCACTATTGAAATAATTATTCCACTATTGAAATAATTAGTGGTTGAGTGCATTTCAATAACAAACATAGATTGCAACCACTATTGAAATACGACCACTATTGACATAATTATTTCAAACTGGAGGCGATTTCCCAGTTTTAGTAATGGAGCCAGATCTGACGTTTTCCTGGCACGTAACTTATCAAAATCATAAAAAAGGCCTGGGAAATATCAGATATTTCGGATTATCGTTATACTTGCGTTATTCAAAAGAATCACAGTAATCAATAGTAATTGCAATGATAATTTACAGTTAAATCGTGATAATTATAAATTGTAACTCAAAGTTTAAAATCTTGTAGAGCACATTATTGTTTGTGATAATTATTTAATGAAATCATGTAATTTAACAACATACAATGTAGTAATTATCTATTTTTGGAGACTTCTTCATTTCACATAAAATATTTTGATATGTCATGTATGTACAACTTTTCCATTATCTTTGTCTGCAATATTTAATTCTTATTTGGTCACTTGAGTTATACTCAGTTTCGAGTTCTCAAAGACATGCACTCACGACAGTATCATGTTGATCTTTATAATAAAAGTTTTGAAAGTGAACAAAAGTGTGAAAGTTATCAATATAGTTAATTATAGTTAATTATAGTTTTCAATATTTCAAACTTGTCGCTTTAGAGTTGACGATATAGTTTACTTTGTTATCTACAGTTTTCCACATGTACATGTATATTTTAGCCGGGGCTTAGACTTCAAAATGCGTGAATGTACTGCAAGGTCGAAAGTTAATACCGTCAGGAGGCATTCAATATTTTACATACTCATGAACTACGAACAAAATGAAACACTTTTGGACAATTTTGTTTTACATCCAGTTGCAATAATTCGAGAGCCTGAAGTGAGAGCCTTTGCGAGTAGAAGTTTGTGTCAGGAGTGGGGTTGGTTTCACTGAAAATAGTATGTATGTTTAACCGCTATTATATGCACAAAAATATTTATTCATGAAACTTAAATATGATTTTGATATGAATATGTTTCAGGTAGAAGGACACAGGCAATATTATGAACGGATTCAATGAATGAAAAAGACTATACACCTGTAAAAAAGTAACGTTTTTGCTGTGGGGTAAAAACTTCAATGTTTTGATTCTGTTTGTAGTTTACTCTGGTAGCTGTGTTTACAATTATCACAGAATTATTAGTAAAAAGAATCGTATACATTATATGTAATTGTGTATTTTTATTAGCCCACATTAACTAAAAGCTCAAATGGGTTTTATACCGATATAACATGAACCTTTTACATTTACATCGAAGTGAAATCCAGACAACTTTGGCATTTTATTTATTATTAAGAGCTATTCCCTGTAACCACTTCAACTTTTTTGCTACGCATTGTCACTGATTTTGCTGAAACTTAGTCCTTGATACAAGAAACATATATCAAATAATATTTTTGCTATGGTAAACGCCGGAAAAAAAATGAAAATTGAGATTTTCAGCTACTTTAAATCTTAACTGAGCTTTAAAAACAATAAAAAGCAAACAAACTATTCTCATAAAAACATGACACCTTGTTGCCACTTATACAGTAAAGAATTCGAAACTGCTTGAAATATATCTTTAATTATGTGGTAACCAAGGGTACATTTGGAATGCATGTAAAATGCTAAAGTATGCTGAATAACGCTCGGTATTCAATAATGGAAAGTGTTACGAGCTCAAACTCAATCAACAACTAAAAAAATGAAAATGTATATATATACTAGGTATAAGCAATATTATTCAATAATTAACTTTTATGGTTGACATGGTAACACAGTGTAACCATGCAATATCAGTGACTAAGCTTGGTTTAATACTACTTTCTTAAGGAAAAACATGAAAAGTCAAGACTAGCAAATATGCATCCTATGAACCTTTTAATACCAACACCATAAGAAAAATTGGGATTAACCGCTACTTTGTGGTGTTATCGTGGAAACAATGTACCGATGGCTAAAAGTTTTTTTCTCCATTAAGAATTAACATTTAATTTAATCAAGAAACACATTATATGATTCACCTTAAATAGTACTTATCTGGTAGAACTAAAGTTAAATATCAAATATTGATAAAATTTTATGTAGAAAACCACACTGTAGCAAGAAGTCAACAATGATCGATTTTGTAAACTTTAATGTTAAACCCTATTGTAGCTTCTTGCATCCACTTAAAGATTGGATGATAGTCAAAATTAAAAGTCAGGTTAAGCGTTAATAAATATCAATCATAAAAGTTTTGGAAATTTTCATTTAAGGTACGTATAAGAAAAAACAATATATTTTTCTGATTTTTAAGCATATATTTTCTGCTTATTTTCTTAGCAACGCTCTACATAAAAATCTGATTAAAATTTTTTTAAAGGGAAAATTAGACCGCACCAAATCTTTCAAAATTGATCATCAGTCTGTTTAATATAAGATACTTTGAAGAAAATTTCTCTCACATCACAGGCAATGAGTGCCAGTCCCCTATTTTGAGAAAAAAAAATTGCTGAAAAAACATGTAGTTATGTATTGTTATAGTTTGCAATATGCTTGATTAAAAGTTGATTAATAGAGTATCAGTGCATGTGGATTTAGATAAATGTGATGTTCATGGTATATTATTGGTGGTGTATGCATTTGTTATATATTTATCTGAAAGCTTATTAAGTGTGACATTCACATGTGTATGAAACTTCTTTTTCAACTGTGGCATAATATTTCTGTAAAACTGGTTTTTTTTTTGTAATGTACATTCATGTAATAAATATTCTTTTCAATAATAGATATAGAAGTCACCTTTTCTTTCTTACTGAACGACGATTCTGAATTCGCATTTATTCTATATTTCATTTATTCAAAAAAGATGTTATCTTATAACATGGGTTTCCAAAAACCATTTGCTCCTGTTTTAGCTCACCTGAGTCACTCAGGTTTAAATTTTGAAACTATTTCAAAAACTCGTTTGGTTAAGCAAAAGGGTTTTTAGATAGTTAGAATATTGAACTAATATTCAAAATTCAAATCGTGGAATTTGATATTTTAAATATTTAAAGTAAAATTCTAAATTCTCAGTGTTTTGGGTATTTGAAATTGGAACATTTGAATAAAAATTCTAAATTTCTTAAGATCTACAACGTTTCAAACTTGAAATTTATAAGTTCGAAGTTAATTTTTAATATATTAACATTCTAAAATGTTATTTTAGAATTTTGAATAGTTAAGTGATACACGGACTGAGCTGATATGCTTATTTCTTTAACCTCTAAAGAGAAAATGTTGAAACTGAAATATTTTATTATGTAAGTTATCTAAAATTAGAATTTTATTTCTTGTAGTTATCACACAATAAAACCCGAGTGGGTTCTCTAAGATAGAATATACAATACAAACAATCGATGAAAATTGACATGATGCACACCAAGCAAAATGATATTTTCCTTCAATGACTCTGAAAATGGTCAGACTGAATAACATATTTCTACACAAAGTTTTTACTTAAACTTTTGAAATCAATATGCATTCAAGAGATTATATTACAGTGTTGTTAATGTGCACATGTTTACGCAGATACATGTACAAAAATATTATACCATCCAAAGTTTAAACATGAATGGTAAGATGTAAAAATGCTTTGTTCAAATAGTGTTATATAAGGGCAAACATTTAAAAATATAAATATATAACTTTAATTAGTTTCTCTACTGTAATTTTTTACAAAATAAAACCCGCGTCAACTCCCTTTAGATAGCAAATAATCTACATTACTATCAATCGATGAAAATTTGTTCAGCTGCACTAAGGAACTGAATAAAAATGATACATGTTAATTCCTCCATTTACTTGGAAATGTTCTCTCTGAATAGCATATTTCAACGAGACGTTTAAATATATTTTAAGCAGGGGGTAAGAAAATCATTGTCCAAGTGCATTCAAGAGATTATATAATAGTGTTGTCAATTTACACATGTTTGCGTAGATACACGTAAACAATTTAAATTTTCTATCGTGCAAAATTTAATTATGGGCGAACAAATTCGGATGGATATATTCTACAAATGTATTTTTGAGAAAGATATCAACACGTTTCGAAAGACATGGTATCAGAGAGTGGACATAAAACCTTACCAAATTTGCTCAATTGTTCGTAAGGCATCAGAACAAGGATTTGTTAAAGGACTTCGCTTCATAGTACAGGAACAAGGTGCAGATTGTCTAGATGTAGATAAAAGTGATAATATGTTCCATGTTGCATGCAAAGCTGGACAAATTGAGGTCGTGAAGTACCTTATAACTCTGGAGGAATTTGACAAAAGTACGACAGTTTTCAATAGTGAATTTTGGTATTTTTTTATCCAGTTCGTCAGAGACGACTAATATCAAAGTGGTCAGTGTGTTACTGGGCAGTGGAAGTCTTGACATTAATAAAATCTCTCCAGAAGGCGTTTCTCTACTTTTCAGAGCAATTGAAAATCGCAAAAAACGACTTTCGGATTATCTTATTGAGCAGGGAGCCAAGGTTACATTTGTTAGTACAAGTAAAAGTACTCGGTTAGGAAATATCAGCTGTATTTGCCTCTCAGCAATGAAAATACCAAATCTTCTCCCCGCTTTGATTGAAAGAGGAGGAAATGCTAATGATGTCTACGAAAAAAATGGACAGTCAGTTTTGATGTTGGCATTTGAAAATAATGCAGATCGAAAGACAGTAGAAGTAATTGTACGTGCTGGAGCAAATTTAAGCTGGAAAGACAAATATGGAAGAACGGTTTTTTCAATGTTAAAATCAAAAGGTTTGGTTTATTTATTCTACAAGAATATGTTTGATCAGGCTGTTTAATTAAGTACATTGTATTAAGTTTTCAAGTTCATAATTACTTAACAATTATCTTTCTTGAATTTCTAACATGCTACTTATCCGATTTCATCCAAAGTTAAAGCAATTGACCTGATCCCATCTCTAATGTTTTAGAGGTCAGTCTTTGCTCTGCTTCTATTTTGTATTGACTTAAACGACTTTTGAGCTTGAAAAATGTTCGTTATCTTCATACATTTCATTTCTTCTGTGGTAAGAGTTCAAATATTAGATATTCAAAAATATGATTATAACTGACTATCTATTGAACCAAAGAAGTAGTGCAATCGCATAGGGTTCAGCAAGATCTTTTTCATATAGAAAATGAACGAGTAAATATTTAAAAATCATAGTAATAAAGTAACAATATCTTTCGTATGGTATCAGAACAAATACTTTCCTTTCATATACATACCAAACACATGCTCCAGTCAAATGTTAGATGAAATTCATAGTTAATTAATAACGTATTGAATATCTTTAAGATTTCAATTAAAGTCCTGAAAATCTTTCAAAGAGCTCTGTGAATTCACTCTATATTTAAATATTTATTTGAATTAAAATATTCAAAATGACAATAAAAGAAAACCCAACACAATTGCGAACAAGCCAAAACTTAAAGCATCACAATAGACAACTGGGCTCAAAAATCTTAAGAATTGTAAAAATAAAATTAAAAGTCGCTTTTTTAAATATCTTCAATATTACTTGTTTACTATTTCACACTCTCAGCCATGTATTTTTTCACAGCTCAGTTATATGGGGTATTGGATGCAGGGATCGTGATAGATGATATTGAAAAACAATATAATTTTTCTACGTTGGATTTCATTTTGAAGTGCCGTGATAATGAAAAGAAAGATCTTTTACTCCTTTTAGAGAAAGGCTCCAATCCTAATTTTTACAGTAACGGTGAAACTTCCCTGCTTACAAATGCATGCACATGTTCATATCGAGCATTAGAGAATGTTCGAATTCTTTTGCAGCACGGCGCAAATCCAAATCATGTTGATGAGAAAGGATTTTCAGTTCTTCAAAACGTTTTGAAAAAGAGTAATTATTTCATTTACTTATTACACTTATCAGCAGAATTGTTTTGTATGCATTCATATATCATTGATTAAACGTGTATAACTACAGAAAATGATCATTGTCACAGTTTTGACTTTAGATAATAAATTTTTCTCGATTTTCTTCTAATTTGGAAAGAAACCCAGTGTCTTCAAATTAAATTTAAAAAAAAAAAAATTTAAAAAATGCAAAAATAAATTAGAAAATTTT